TTTTCCGTTTTTTTTTTGTTAGCATGTTTTTGTTTGGTTAAACACTATCTATCATTTCGTATACAAAACAAAAAACAAACAAACAACAATCATTAATACAAACAAATAATGTGTGGATATCTCCTTGATGTAACGTAATTATTTCGTGTTGGGTAAATAGCTTGTTTCCTTGTATTGCCTGTTTTGTAACTCTTAATTTAGTCATTCTGAGATGCAGTGAACCACTTTTAATTATTGGTCCACCAAAGCTCTGAGTCAGAGTCTGCTATTTCAGCTCATTTTGTAAGTTGTTTAGTGATGCTATTGTTCACATTTTGCAACTTAAAAGAATTACAACTGACCCAAATAATAATTTGAACATGGTGAGATACACATCATTTGGTTTGTATCTCATTGTGCCTCATGCATGCATCTCCTCTTTACACAGGCAAGAAACATGGTTTATTGATTCATCATCACGATGGAAAAGGTTTTATTCACAGGATGTTACATTTCCTACATCAATTAACACTCAGTAATAATAATAATAATAACCTAGACTTATATAGCGCATTTCATAATCGAAGAAAATAGCAATGCGCTTTACAATATTAATACAACAAAATTACACATAACTACTAATTCATGAACTAAAGAAATATCAAAATAAGGAAAAGATTAATAATAATCAAACATTATAAACATCCATTACAGAGAAAATAAGGCAATTATATCAGAGTACAGTAATGTAATTAAATTTTGATGAATACAATAGTACAGTTTAAATGATATTAGAAAGCGTTTTTAAACAGGTAGGTTTTCAGTTGAGATTGAAAGAAAGTTAAGTCTGTGATGGTTCGGAAAGTAGTGGGGAGAGAGTTCCAGAGATGCGAAGCTGCAGATGAGAATCTTCTGGATCCGTATGACTTGGTCCTGTCTTTCGTGGGTTCAATGAGGTGTTGAGATGCAGAGCGGAGGGATCGAGTGGGTATGTAAGGTGTAACAAGTTCAGATATGTAGCTGGGACAGAGTTGATGAAGTGCTTTGAAAGTTAGAATGATGACTTTGTACTGGATTCTCTGGGATAGTGAAAAGAACTATGTAGGCTTCCAACTTGGTCCATGAAAAGGTTATTTGTATGATGTTCAATATAAGGCACACTTAATGTAATTTAAGTGTGAGGTCTTAAAAGTGTGAGGCTTTAGAATTATTATATTCATAACTTTTCATTTGCGCATAATGATCAAACATGTTAAATCATGCACTTAGAGAGAGGGGGTGACTTGGGGGATGTTGGAGAAAATGGATCATAACAATAAAATGTTCATATTAAGTGTTTTGTTTTTCTTCAAAATACTGCCAGTCCTAGCTTATTTTGGCAACAGATCCAACAATCATAAGACTAATAAGGCAGGCGCGGATCGAGGATTTCCAGCCCCCCCCCCCTCCTGGATCCGCCATTGTAATAAGGTGCAAGGTCTGTGAAACGTTAGATTAATATTTCTATCGACTGCAATACTAAAGAATTTCCCATTTCTGACAACAAAATACGACACTTTGGATTCGACGGTCTATAATCACGCTTTTTATTCATGCTTGTAATCAATGAAATCACATTATAATACAAATGTGCATGCAATTGTATTGGTGCATAGGCTAATAAAACACTTAATCTTTGGATTTGTAGAAATTAATCGCCTTAAAAAGTATGCCCTCTTTCTATCTCTTTTTTTTCTTTCTCTATCTCTCTATTATGCTCTCTCTCTCTCTCTCTCTCTCTCTCTCCCTATTTTTTTCTTTCTCTATCTCTCTATTATGCTCTCTCTCTCTCTCTCTCTCTCCCTATTTTTTTTCTTTCTCTATCTCTCCATTGTGCTCTCTCTCTCTCTCTAACTCTCAAGTTGTCGATATATAGTAGGAGCCTTATTTGTGGTCTCTACAACTAAATGAACATGGATTTAACAAAAAGGAAATACGTACAAATAAATTCTTCGGAAAATTTTGATGATATAAATACAATTATAATTGATTTTTCTTTCTCGGGAACTGCCTGCCAGAGAATGCTTTCGAGTAATTTGCCCGTGCTCGCGTAAAGCTACATGTCGACACTCACATTAACTGACGTTGGCGTAGAGATGAAATTAGTTACGAGTCGACAATCAGGGTCTCCTTTATAGTACTTTTTAATTTGATTTGATCACGTGTGACTAAATTTACTTTCTAAAGAGACCATTAATAAGCAGGTTAATCAAAAGAAGTGAGTTAAATAATCACATTACTTTAGCGCAACTCAATTTTTTTATAAGAGAAAAAAGTAATTCAACATAAAAATTTGTGTAACCTTTCTCTTTCCATAATGTTCATATCTGACTGTCATAATTTATGGAAGCGTGTGTAATTGTCAAATCTAATGGTAAAAGATTCAAAAGTAAAGAATTGAAACCAATGGAGAGTGAAATTATTTTCTAAACATGAATTTTGAAATTATAACGGTATATCTTTTCAAATTTTTTTTCTTCTTCTGTTTGTTTGTGCTTCCGTTTGCCAAACCACCGGAAGAAGCAAATTGATAAAAAAAAAAATATTTGTAACAAATTCAAAAGCAAAGAAATTTAAACTAGAGGGTAAAATTGTTCTCTAAATATAAATTTTATAATTATAATGGTATTTCTTTTCTCTTTTTTTCCTTCTCCTTTTTTGCATGTGCTTGCGTTTGCCAAACCACTGGAAGAAGTAAGTTGATACAAAATAAATACATATTCAAAAATGAAAGAGAAGCTTTGCAAAAAAGTGTTAGGTCAAGCATAATTCATACATGTTTTCTTGTGTAAAAAATAAAAATATCAACTTTCAACTACATGGAACGATATAATCGAATAATGGAAATTGACATTAACAGCCGTAAATTATGAGACTTTATTACGATATTCTTTGTTGATCTACTTACATGTATTACTGTTTCCGAAGACTCGATTCATAAACATAAAAAAAGAGGGAAAAGGCACTGGCTTTCTGATGATATAGTTTTCACTAAAAAATCTCCAAATGTAGCTTAATTGCTCGAGACGGATAGGTTGGTAACCGGCAGTGAGCTGAGCGCCATATCAAAATGTCAAATTCATTTCGGCCTTCCCATTTAAAAAAAGCATGCTGTTCTTTTCACAGCGAATCCATCAATTACTATTTTATTTTTCTTGACCTCTTAACTAGGTGTTTTACTTCAAAGATTTCATATATATTTACATCAATTTACATTGAAAATTATACAAAAGACAAAAGTAATTAAATAAATGGTAATAACCTTAACACTTTTTGAATAAGTATCACTTTGTTTTCGCCAATCAAAAACTTTGCATATTTACTATATAATATCGTAGTTTGAATTTGAAATTAATTAACAGACTTTTATTATCATACTTTTTACCATCATACCGAAGTTGATATACATTTTGTATATCATTGTATTGGCCTGAAATTAACATCAAGTGTATCACTTTTTTTCTTCTTCAATAAAATAACCTTTAACTAATGCTTTTTCATTAACATTTATTTGCTCACGAAATTAATTATAAAATAAGTTTTCAATAACTTTCCCAAAAAACTCGAACCTTGTTACAATATTTGGCAAGACATGAAAACCTTTTTTTTTTTTTTTTTTTACATAATTATATCACATCAATGACTTAAGTGTAATGCAGAAGTTATGAAATTCGCTTAACAAAACAACATGACATTTTATATTAAACTAGACACCCACCAAAGCGTCTCATTTTACTCTGATATAAAAAGGATCATGAAAAATTTCTTTCTCCGAAGGATTTAATTTGTGTCTCGAATACAATGTGTAAGCGAAAGCGAGCAATCTCGTCAAAATACCGAACAAATCATTGACAATACCGACTATAGGATAAAAGCATGATTGAAAATCAATAAAAGAAGAAAAGATATAGGGAGAGAATGTCGCCTGAGAAAAGACGATGCTTACCAGGTAGTTGAACATACCGTACATGAAGAATAAAAAGGTATTTCACATTTAAAGGTACTATGTCCCTTTTGCAACCAACATAAAACTCTGTAGAACTTTGCAGGAATTATGAATATGTTAACGTATGTCCTTTCTGTGAAATTTGAACGTGAGCAGTGACCTAGTATTCAAAGTATGCAAAGAAACCTGATTGCTGTTTAGACTTCACTGTCATACACTCTTGAGTGAGTGACTGGCTGACTGACTTTTTTTCTTCTTTTGTAATAACATACATCAAATGAGCTATAAAGATTCAATGAGCTTTAGTCTACATCAATAACTCACTCCTTGTATTGGCCAAAATTAAACCTGATTAAATCTTTGCACAGCGCAAAATTTACGACCATTCGGTACAAGGGTCTAAAAAATGAAACTAAATGTATTACTAAAAGGATCGCAATCCCTTAAGTCGATTTGAAAACTAACGATCGTTATTTTTCCACTAAATTTGTTTTTCTTCAATCTATTGTTTTGAGGGAAGTTATAAATTATTATTATCTTTCAAACGCCGTTGGAATTTACCCTTTTAATTTGTTTGGCCTGTAAATGGGACATAGTACCTTTAACATAGTCAATGCAACATTCCTAGACGTGGGTTCTTTAGAATGTGTATATAGACTGTACCGAGCAAAAAAAATGCCTGAACAAACATAATATCGGGCGAAACACATCGCCTTTCTTTTCCTCCACTCTATTTGTTCCATTCATTTAGATGGCAAATATGTATTTACTTGCCAAGTTCATGTCATCACTCATGCATTCGAGAATATTGTTGCGCGATTCTAGTTTCCGTTAATAATCTTATTTTAAGATTTTGCTTCGGTTATCAGACAGCTTGATCACCAGTCACCAATGTACGCCTAGGAACAGACAAGACACCAAGCAACCCGTTGGCGGTCTGAAAGCTTCGTATAATTATGATCAATCTTTACAATCTTGAATAGTATCTGTAAATTGCTTCTTTTCTTGTCTTCTTATCAAACTTGGATTTCATCGATGCAATCATGGATACGACGATTAATTCAACGATCTCCGGAACAAATACGTTAAAGATCGTGTCGACTATCATTTACTCATTTTTAGGATCAGTTGGAATCATAGGAAACGCTCTGGTTTTCATTGTTATGATTGCTGTAAAAGAACTTCGCACCATCACCAACCTCTTTATCATTAACCAATCAATTCTAGACATGATAGCCTCATTTTTCCTCTTTGCGAACTACATCGCTCCACATGCACCTTTGCCCGATAAGGAATGGTCTGGGACATTCATCTGCTCTATCTGGAATTCTGGCTACATCTTCTGGGGCACAATCATCTCATCGACCTATAACCTGGTCCTACTGTCGATAGAGCGTTACCTGGCCGTCATCCACCCGGTCGTCTATCGAAGCAAATTCAGCTATCGCCTCGCTGCTGCCGTTGCTGTCTCTCCGTGGATTATTGGTTTTGGCTACGAAGGCCACTGGGCAGCAGCTAACCAGTATTCCAGAGGGCAATGCACAGTTCTCTACGCCAGCTCTATCATCCAGAAGTTTACTGGTTGCCTGACATTCATTGTAGAATTCCTCTTTCCGATCGCTGTTATGGCATTTGTCTACATTAATATCGGTAAGTCCCTTCGATCACGGATTGCGGATATCAACCCTTCGACGACCATGACAACAGCCACTGCGGAAAGCATTGACAACACCGGAAGCAACACCGAAGACCAACCAGCTGCACCAAACTATCGAGAAAAGGCGCGTAAAAACGTCATTAAAACGTTATTTATCGTCTGCGTTACATACGCAATCTGCTGGGCACCAAATCAAATCATCTACTTGTATTTCAACTTAGGTGGAGCTTTAGACTTTAATGGGGAGTTGTTCTCATTCACTGTTTATGTAGCCTTTCTCAACATGTGTGTCAATCCTTTCATCTACACATTCAAATATCGCAAATTTCAGAAGGGCTTAAAAATATTGTTTAAAATGAAATTATAAACTGCTGTCGATAATATTATGCTGATTAGACAATGTTATAGATGTAGTAATGCTCCTGAGTGGGTATATAAAGAATGAAGTAGTGGTTTCTTTTTCTGTCAGTGATAATTGTTGTTCAGTTTTTCTGAATAGGAGGGCAATTCTTAATTGTTTACAAGACCGAAAGTTCACAAGGATCGGAAGAACAATGTTCATCGAGTACGTAGAAGTTCGGACAAAAGGGACAACAGTACAAGTCGCACAAAATTATCTCAGAGGCCGAAAGATTACGAGAACAAAACCGATGTATCTCGCAGACTTTCGAAACACTGGGACAATTATTATCCACAGGTGTTTAAAGTCCTAGAAACCAAGTGCCACTAGAACATACGTAATATTGTAGAACCTCTGAAATGTTCCCTGTTTTTGTGTGTGTGCATCTACATCTACATTTTGACTCGTATGTAATATCTATCTATCTATCTATCAGGCTATAATTCATCAAGACGTTGGACAAAGCCCTCCTCATAACATTTCCATTCTCTTCTTTCTCTATAGCAGTCCTAGTCCAAGCGACCGTTCCCATTATGATGTTAGGTCGTCTCTCCATCTTCTCTTCTGCCTTCCTCTTCTTCTCTTTCCCATCCTTGGTTGCCATTCTGTTAAACGATTTGTTGATCTATTGTCCTGAAGTCTTGCTACATGCCCAGCCCATCTCCACTTTGATTCTCTGACTTTCTCCATGATGTCTTTAACCTTTGTTTTCTGGCGTATGACTTTGTGATTGATTTTGTCTCGCAGAGATAAATGCGACATCTTTCTCTCCATATCTTGTTGAGTAGTCGCATATGTCACGTATGTAATAGATACGTCGTTATTATAGTTTTGGGGAACGACTTTTAAATTGATTGCTTTAACCTCTGATGTGTTAGTTTCTTGATTATTGTTGTTCTAATATTGTGATACCCTTTATGCTGATTTGAGTAGGTCTCTGGATTTTTCGACGCCTTAAAAGGTTCGTAGGATAGTTATTGTGATAACCACCATTATGAGAACCATTTTCCAAGCGTGAATGATGAGCTCACGAACTATAAAGGACACCCACATTTCCTTTGTATTGTGCAGAAGAAATTGGTTACGATAGTTTAATTTCCTTTTAGTGGCGTTTGGTGAAAGCACTTTTTAACTTTATTTTATCACTCTGCCTAATGTCCTTTCTAAAAAGACCATTGACAAGCAGGTAAATGAATTAAAGAAATATTGTTTGCTGCATCGATGAGTGATAGCGCCATTAATTTGAATCACTTTTCATGTTAATTTTCATCCACGTCAGCAATGACTATAATGTCTTTATTCAGACGTACAAGCCTTTTCATGGAGTAACTATGTCATCTTCCTCGCGCCCGTACATGACGTTGTTGACAGAAAAATATCAACCTCGCAAAGATGACATTGGCGAATTGCGACACACAATAGTCCATAGGGCACTTATGGCAATACCATAGTCTTATTCGGGAATCAAAATACGGTTATATCGGTCATTACAAGAATAAAATGAAAGTAGTTAAATATGTATGACTGTTACTAAGATGACGTTGATTTAGTTTAATTGCTTTTTTAATGTAAATATTATACGTAATATTGTATTGGCATTATATTCGATTTAACTCGTATTATTTTATGAATACAAATCTATGCGATATCGTTAGACATTGATAATGAACGAAAATAAAAATATGCACTCTCACACAAAATGGATTCTAGCAGATACCAGAATAGTTCGCTTTTCTCTTTTGTTTCTTTCTTTTGATTTCTTCTTAGTTTCTTACTGTCAACTTTCTGATAACAATTTATCGTACTCACCTTAGAGGGTTTGTAAAATAAAAGATAATTAAAGGCCAACAGTAGCTATACATATGAATTTTTCTGCATCATTTCTTCATTAAAATCATATTAATTTCATGTGTATAAGATTTGGAATACATATCGTGTGTATAAGAATAGGAATACATAATCCAAAGGCAGTTTAAGATATATTTCAAAACAGTTATTCCAAAATCATTTTTAAAAAAACATTTATAAAATAACTGAAAAATAACTTTAGACCCATTTGAAATTGTCATACAAAGTTCATAGACTTAGTTGAAAGATTCTCCTCAAAAAAATGTATTTGATAAAAGCTTCACAGAATTTCCAAATCAGCCGTGTTTTTGCCAATAATTGACAACGTCATTGTGATTGCCTTTTTTTCCTACGCTATTGAAATTAATATTAAAGTTGTTTTCATTGTACTCAAAATGCAGCCATATAGGACCGAATAGACAGGAGACCTTATTATGTATGGTAGATGACAACCGCATAAAACGTAACCACTAACGTGATTTCCATAAATAAAGGTCCACTGTAATAAAGGACCAGGGTAAGTACTTCTCAAAGAGTAAAAGGGTGCCCGTGGGAAAGGAATATTACATAGAACAAGTGTAACATCAGAAAGAAGAAGAAAAATAACAACAATTCATATATACTTTTCTTTAGAAATCTAGCCATCTGATTGATCGAAATTGCAGTCGAGATTTTCGCCGTTCCCTGAGCAATGCCAGTAATGGTCAATGGTTCATGAGTAATATTCCCGCAAGATTCCGGGTAACAGAAAAATAGTTGCGATCCCCATTAGTTTACGTGTTAAAACTTAGTCTGTGCGAATCGGAGCGCGGCTACCATACACTTTTGTGCGAAAAAATTGGGTCACTACAAACGCTACAAACACAGCGCAGACGACCGTCGATCTCGATTGTATCAAGGCCTAGATCTACACGTAATGACGAGATGACGCCCCTAATCGAAATATGGAGATTAACCTGCTCTTTACATATGACATCTCATTTTTTTTAGTATCACCCTCAGGATCACAAGCAATAAAGGTTTGAATCACGATTTGGAAATTAAAACATTGATCAATTTTGCATGATCGCGCAATGCAAGTAGACTGCATAGGGATATATGCGTGCAATCTCAATGGGAAGGATTTTTGCACACAAAATCGAGTGCGCGATCAGACACCCGAAGACTAGGTCTACCTGCAAGTCATTAACACATACCTCGATAGCGTAAACAAACTTGATTACCATGATTGGCAAGTCGCACGCCTCGGTGTGATATCAGGATGCAACATCCCCTTGAGCCAATAAAACAACTATTCCTATTATAGCAGTCATTATATCTATACAGTATTAACAACTCACAGTAATACTGATGATGATAATGAAAATGATAATAATTATGATGATTATGATAATGATAATGATGATAATAATAATAATGTTAATGATAATATTAATGTAATATATAATAATGGTGACGGCTATGATGGTCGTTATAATATCATTCTTCGCAAATATACCTGTACTTTTTTTCTTCAAATGCATATAATTTACATCTTTGTATGCAGTACCTTTTTTTCAAATTAATTTAACGCGAGTGAAAAATTGTCAGTTTCATGTCAGTGTCGTTTATATTCCCCTCAGTTTCAGCCTTTGGCTGCTATTTTGAATGCATGTTTTTTAATCAATAAACCAGTCCAAAGATATTCTCAGTTATTATAACCTCAACAGCGTTACTTATGAACAGATGGCATCAATAGGATTTTGGTATGAAAACTAGATTTAACAAAATAAGCACAACTTACATTAAAACCATGACATAATGATTTGTACACAATCTTAATAAATTTTGTCATCGATCAGTATTTTTTTATATATTAAGTAAACGAATTAAGGACATTAGGTCGTGTAACATAATACAATTTGTCTTCTTCTTGGCGACATGCGCGGACGTGTGCGCCCGCCTGCACACTAAATATTAGTGAGAATAGAAAAACGCACGCATACATGTAACAGTTAAAACTTAAGGAGAATAGTGAGCGCGCGCACACTCAAGGGTAAATATATATTAAAAAAAAAACGACCATAATCTGGTCATATATATCTAGCTTCAGTTGTATTGGTGTTGATATGGTGACTGAGGTTCTGAGGAAAACTTGACACATTGGGGGACAGACAGCCACTACACCTAAACTATATAAAGTAGGTGCATTATCTTACTATTTGTTCTGAAAAGTTGTATGTTCTCAAAGTGAGATGTGTAGATCCCGTAGGTCTTGAGTTTTAAAGTTTATGAATTAAAACATTACAAGTTTGTTTAGTTATCTTTTAACTCCAGTATTTCCCATGGGTGATCTAAAATGCACTGCATAAACACACCCTGGAGATCATCAAAGGCTAGATATTTAACCATGACCCGGAAAAGCAACTGCTACTCTGAATATTTCAGAGTTATTTAGCAACATTGCGACCAGAATACAAAAATTAAAGGTTCCTTTGTTATGTGGCATGAGCATGTTCATATCATAGAATAAGATTTACCAAATGTCCCATCAGCTATGCAAGGCCGGCTATGAGCGAGGGGCGGAGGTTAGGAGCAATTTTAATTGCTTTAGGATTAAAAACCTGGTTCGATCTCTCAAATAGGGGCGGTTCTAATAATTTTACTGTCCCAGTTTTGTAGTTTTAAACTCGAGTGATTAAGTCAGAATTCCGAACAAAATACATAGCATAGACAGAGCCAAATGTTGACAATTTGGTGTCCATGTATAATTTACCATAGGCTATGTAGTCTGTTGGCGTGTAGAAATGGACATTTGAAATGAATAATGTTATTCTTCATATTTACCATTCCGTGCGGCAAAATTAAGTTACCATGAGCATCCGTATGATTAATTAAAAGAACTTCAATTTTACGGTTGCATACACTCTTTGCTCGAATAATAATGACCTGTGATCTTTTTTTTTTAAATTTCTTTTTCTCTCTTCCAGGCAAATCATTTTGAGAAAAAGTGGGCTGGAATTCGATATGGACGTGATATATGCACTATTACATGAATATCGGTGACTATTTTGTCTAATTTCAACACTCACAAATTGTTATTTTTAAATCGAAAAAGAAATGTTTTGAACAAAAAATGTGAAATAAATGCTCATCATGAATGCTACAGATAATTTGGAATCCGAAACAGATACCCTATACTTCGTGTCGCTGACCATTTTCTCCTTAATAGGAGCAGTCGGTATTATTGGCAACGTTTTCGTTCTCTTTGTTGTGTTTGCTGTGAAAGAACTTCGGAGTTTTACAAACATCTTTCTCATCAATCAATCCTTCATAGACGCGTTGGTATCATTGTTCCTGTTTGGAAACTTCGTCGCTCCCCCCGTACCTTTGCCAGATCAGAAATGGTCTGGGATATTCATCTGCTCTATTTGGAATTCTGCCTACATCTTCTGGGGTACGACCATCGCATCGACTTATAACCTGGTGATGCTGTCCTTAGAGCGATACTACGCCGTCATCCACCCGGTAACCTACCGGAGCAAATTCACCTACCGAGTCGCAGTCGCAGTCGCTGTCGCTCCGTGGATCATTGGTTTTGGCTTTGAAATACACTGGGCTGCAGCAAACCATTTCACCAACGGACAGTGCATAGTTCAGTACGCCAATTCAGGAATCCCTATTCT